AATAAAAATGAACAGGTCCCAGTTTGTTTCGGTTAAAATATAATTGCACGAAGATACACTCCTGAAATTTGCACATTTATAGAAATAAACTGAGGTGTCTATGTTACAATTCAAATTACGAAGTTTCCAGCGAATGAATCAAACTTTGTGCTGTTATATTTTACACCAACTTTCGTCATTACGAATATACAATTAGCGCCAGGAGATAGAGAAAGATGGCCAATTTATACACTCATAAAAATTCTCTCTAAACAATATTATTAATTTACTCTACTTTTATACTATATCAAATTTCAAAATTGGTAACCATCTCCAGCCTTTTTTATTAACTATAAATGTACATAGTTAATTTTCATTGAGGAAATAATGATGTAAAGGAATTTTTCGATGAATATTTTTTCTCAGTGTAGTCTTCCTCCAATCGAGATCGGCAAATAAGATATGAATCGGATAGACAAAGACGGAACGCTGGTAAATTAAAATCCGAAACGTCTAATTACCGAGTTTCAAATTGACGCCATCTTGTACTTTTCTCTATTTCCACTGAGTTTTGGCGCTCCGATATTATTCACGAGTCTTGAAATGCTCCCGCCTCGGGCCGCGAAAATTTATATCTTCTACAACTCTGTTCAGCGCCGTATCGGGAAATTCAGCCTTCAATAAGATACTAAAAGAAGGTATTTTCAAGTTATTACAAGTTGAGTAGTTTTATTTTAGTTTTTAAATAAATCTAGTTATGATATGGAAGTAATAGACAATATGTTTTATTTAAGAGACTCACCGTGTATATGTTCGGTCCCTTGTATGGTCGAGACAATGTGACTGAAAGTACCCTTTCGAATTCGCATAAAAATCAGGTTACCTTGCGTGCGTAATAAAAAATAACATTGGTCACTCCAAACCTGTTCCTCGAACGCCGCATGTGGGAAAGTTTAACTCAAGAAAGGGTCAGTTTCGTCCTGTCGAAGGACAATCGCCCCTAAGCGACCAAGTCATAGGGAATCCACGGACCCTTTTTTTCCGACGAACAATTACAATGTCCAGCGGACAACCTGATTTTCTAGTTCTGCTACATGTAAATTTCGGTTGGATTTTTATCCGAAATTATTTCGAATATTTTATTCAGTCCGATTCGATATTTTACAGTGAAAACATCGTGGTTATTCTGAGTATGGGGCGGGTAAGTTTGCAATTTTTACTTAATCCATCTACGTATAGCTAGAGGTAGATTATAATTTAATGATGAAACTTATCCACACAAGCCTACCTTAATCGATAACTTTTCGAAACACGACGATGCATTTTCTCTTAAATTTCCCCACTCGTAATTACGAACTTCTGAAATGCAGCCGCGATGGAAATTCTCCTACAGCTGGTTTGCGAACTAAGCTGAAAAAATAACCCGCCAGAATCTCGATACGGGCAAACAGTGCAAGTTTACCGAGTTTTCGGATATCGATTCGCGATAATACCAGCGAAAAGTATGCGAACTTTAACCAACAATCAGCCGCCAATTTTCACAAAAAAATTCATCAACTTTCGGTTTATGTGCGTAAAGTATAAAATCAATTATAAGCTTGCTTACCGTTGATAAAGGAGTAATTGATAATAATACCTATCTATAAGCGACTGATTTAGATTTTCGTTAGGCAGCGGCAATCCATCACGTTGAACGTTACGCAACGAAGAGTATTTAACGAAAATTGCCGATTTCCTATAAGGAGCTAATATAAATTGATTAGATTTTCGTCTCCCTTATTCGTAATCTAATTAGTTAATTTTAAATTGATATCGTCGAACTGCGTGTGGGATAAACTCACTTCGACAATTTTCCACTGCTCAAACAATTAGATGGAGACACGCAGTCTTCGATTGTTGGAAATTTATGAAACAAGTCCTTCAAAAATACTTATGTGCCTATTTCGAATTTTCCATCGCAATAAAATTTTCCATTCGTCGAGTCGAGTCGGAGGGGACCGCTCCCCGAGAACTCTATTTATACGTACAGCAACCTTCAATAAATTCTAATCACGCATTTACAAATTATTTAATTAAATCAAGCGAGGGCCGAAGTGGAGCACTTCGTCGTCGCGCGACTGTCTTACGACTTCTACCCAAACTTCGTCGGCGAGAGCACCTCCTGTACGTCTACGAATTAAATTCAAGACTCACCTCAATGCCAATGGAACCCATCGGGACGAAATTTCCATTTCTATTTTGGATTTTTTCAAACCAAAATTTGTCCTATAATCTATTTTAGGGTATTCATTTAAAAAGAGTTCGGTATATTTCTCGTATAACATTCGAGTATTATTAGATCGAATGATGGATTATTGGTAGATATTGGAAAATGATGAAACGATGGGTTCTAGAAAATATCCAGTGAATATTAGTTGATATTTGGAAGATCTAGTGGGAATCTTCAGTTGAATTTGGTCCGCGTTTCGGATCCTCATAAATCGCTGTGCTCAAGTTGGAGTCCACAGTTCGGGACTGCTGCCTGTTTCGCACTACCGGATTCAATTGCATTATTCTCTCGAGAATTCCAAATTCGACAACAAAAGATGCTCCTTCCGTTCTTATTCGAATTAATCAAGCCGATTTCAACTTCCTTTACGACGTATCCGAGTTTACCGACAGCAAAAACTCACCAAAAAACAGATAGGTACCAAACTTTACCACATAGTGCAGGATCAAATAAGATGCGTAATTTTAGAGAAATCTTTTAGTTTCAAAACTGAGTACTTAATAACAGTGTATAAATGTTGTATGAATACAACACTGGATTATTGGGTATGCTTCAAAGAGGTTTGTGGTAACGGTTAATTAGAATTATCCCAGTAATAATTATAAGTAATTGCTGTGCCAGTCGCGTATCAAGCCGGAAAATCTGAAGCTCATCGTCTGAGAGTTCGTGACTCCTTCGATTTTGTTATTCCTATCTGTTTATTAAACTATGTAGGAACTGTCTAAAGTGGGAATTCCTATTCGAGTAACCGTTCCAGGTAATAATATATTTTATTCGGTCATATTCCGTGCAGCTACACACCACCACCTTATCGACTGGAAATTCTCCGGGGTATTTAAATACGAAGACGTGCGCTCGCAATTCTACCAACTAGATAACGTCAAATGTTGCTATTAGTCTCTTAGGGACTTTAGTTAAGACGATGTTTAACGCGGTGGCTTGTTTTTAGAACGCTACCATTAATCATAGTTGCCGGTGGAGGAGGAACGTTGATGGTATTTTGTTTTTGCGTGCGTGTGTTTATCACCAAATTATTCTAGTGTTAACAAAGATAATATTTTAGTTGGTTGGGAGTAAACGTGTCGATAATTAATAATTACTGACACTTAAACTACTAACTTAATATCAAGATATTAAATTTGCTGATTGAATTTAATTAATTACTGGATTTGTGTTTGTTCTTAGTGATAAATGAAGCTAAGTACCTAAAAGTCATTAATAATATCGAAAATGTCGATTTATACAAATGAAAAATATATATTTTTATCAAAAATAGTCCTCCTTAATACTTTTCTAATTGTATGAGTGTATTGTAAAGCTTCAACATCCTTTAGGACATCAATTTCACCTCGTTTTGTGGTCACCAACAGAAAATGAACTGGCGACGTGACAACTAAATAATGTAACGCAATCTACTCCACTTAAAATTCACTTAACTTTAAAAGTGCCCGGCTATTTTTCACTTGAAAAAAGCACGCCGGGAAAGTTAACACGCCGCTTTCGGACTTCCTTCCACTTGGCGTCGGTGAAATCGGTTTTTCCTTGTTTTTCAAACAACGGGGTAATTTTTCATTTGCAGCGTGTAACCGCTAGAAAATTACCACTTAGGACCACTTTTATCAAATCCCACCAGAGAGTTTTCCGAGTTTTTAGAGGAATTCCACCCCTAGCGGTTTCGCGCTAAGGTTTGTTTTGCTTTGTTTGTCGTCGCCGGTGGAAGAATAATTTATTTGAAATATGTTAAAAGGGTCGCTAAGTGTGTTTTTGTAGCTGTTTTTCCTGGCGCGTACAATATTTTTAGCTTCATATGAACGGATAAAATATGTAGATACTTCCTTCAGTTTTTTACCATCGTTATCGTTATTAACTTTTCCTATATTTTATGAAGTTTTTATATAATTTCTCATTTATAATAGAAAATATATAGGGTGTAACATAAAGGTGGGTCATAAATTATGCCACATATTCTGTGGTTAAAATTAAGTTGATTGATGTTCCCAATTTCTTAAGTTGTCCAAACGAGTATGACCTTTTTGTTACACCCTGTATAGTTTAAAATAAGTTTAGAATATAATGTAATTAAAGTTTAATGAGTTTCGCATGGAAAAACTTGAAGCTCATCAAATTTCCGCGGCACAGATATTCACGCTTTGATAGCGCGCATTATCGCAAAGATTTTTAGCTTGAGTAACGTCTTATTAATGATAAATTAGTGAAAATTATTAGCGTCAGACTCGTCGCGGAGCAGTCTTGGTGCCGCTTTTAAGTTAAATGGTTTTCCACTTCAATAAATTCCGAGACGCGTGCTTTTAAGATCCTTATACCATATTTCGCCTTCAGAACAAAATGAAACTTTGCTTTGACATTATGAACTCCTTTCTCTTCGCCAAAGGTGTTCGCTAATATAAATTATCCCTCTTCGTAAAACAAAATTAATGCCGTTTTCCTTTACGTCAACCGCCGGGGCGGGGAAAAAGAGACGGCGACGGCGGCGTTCGCGGATTCGGGAGCGGGACGACGAGACAAAGTTGTAAAATTCATCAAGATGAAGAACAGTTAAAATAAGATAGATGAGACCGCCATTTTAGCTACGTATTTTGCTGCCGTGCATTTCATTGTAGGAATAGAGTTAGACGTGTCGAGTAAGCAGCGCTCCTGTTTATTTCTGGCGGAAAATTCTGCTGAGCGATCGCATTAAGTGTTGCTCAAAGTAAAATTACGCTTCCTTCAACTTTGCAAAACTGAGAAAATTATGCTCTTGTATGGCGGCTGGGAGGAGATGTGCCTGCCACGGCATGGTGGAATATTAGTCGAATCTATTGAATTAAAAGTTTTTCCGACTTCGCCTTCCTTCGTATTCCCAGTTTCTCGCTAAACTTTGAACTGTAAATGGGTTGTATGTATAGTATAACGTATAGGCGCAATATCGTTTCCATATAAAGTTTTTTTTAATCAAACAACTTCATACATCAACCTATACATACATAACGGTGTATATTTCGATATGATATCAAACACGAAAACTTTTTGGAACGATATCTTGAAATTATCCTTAGCTCAACATTAAAGCAGGTTATCCAACGGAGAGAAACAAACTTCTCCAGAATAAACAGTAATTTCCTTACCAAATTACCAGACTTATTTGCAGAAAGCTACATTTTCGCTGGATCCATAAAATTACTATGTATTTTGCTTAAAGTTCTGTTTGTATAATAACGCGAAGTATACACATTTTCCTCTAGCTACTTCTTCAAGTCTCGGCCCGTCCTCGTCTCGCGCTATTTCCCTTCGGAGTTTCTCCGATTCCACGGACGTGCGCTCGGGAAATTATACCCAACTCCAATAAATTGCCCTGTTAGTTTTTAATTAACCAATACCAATTCAACCTAGCTGCAATTCATTATGAATACCTTCAACAACTTCTGGAGTTGTAATTTTCACAATCGTACATTTACCACTTATTCTCCAAGATATGGAAAAAATAATAAATCTGTGAATAAGAAAATAGATGTAGATACGACATTGCGCCATCTCCCACCCCCATCTCATAACGTGCGGTTTTAAAACTTCTAGACATACTTTATAAATGGGAAACATTAAGCAAAATGCTAGACCCCGACATTATGAAGGTTTGCCGGGAACTTCGGACCTATTCGGCGGAGTTGTAAGGGGGAGAATCGCCTCATTAGGAGCAGCCAATGGAAATCTCAGAATTTTAATTGCATCTTAGGTTGCTTTTGTTTCCTCCCTTTAAATTATCGCTCCGGCGTTCGGGATAACTTCGGGGCGCGAAAGCTTGTGTACCACACTCGACGCTCCCAGTCGCTGGGATCGGGGATTTTCTTTTTACTATTTTAAGATTAGGAGCGCCGGCGAATGCGTTTGATTTATTAATGAGTCGGAATTCGAAGCGGAAAGATTTCATAAAGGGAACTCGAGGGCGACATAAAAGAGAATGGATTGCTGTATAGGGTAGGTTTGCATTGCGAAGGTATCAAGATAATTTATTGCAAAAACACTAGATAAGAAAGATATATTTGCCAGCTACACAGTGAGAAAGAAATATGATTATTCAGTGAAAATAAGATGATTTTGCTATTTATACAGGCAAGAAATATAATGTTGCTACCTCTATTTGAAGTCTCCTTTGAAGTCCGTCGTTTGATGGCATTTGGATCGAATTAAAAACCTCTCGAAAGTCGAAGAAACTGGCAACTATCGGGTCGATATGTAAATAGTCGAAGTTCGACTATAATTCAGCCGCAGATGCATTTGACAGCTGTAAAATTAAATACGTCGTCGGCGACGAAGGAACACAGAACGAAACGGTAAAGCCGCGGCGTTAAGAAACAGGCACAGGAATGGGCTTATTCCGCCAAGCATTAGGTCCCCATTTTGTATTTCTCCGCTGACAAAGGTTGTGCTTAGAAAATAACGTGCCCGGAATTGAATATCGCGCCGGATGAACCGATTCAATCATAGGCGTATCGAGAAACATTAATCACCCATTCCAGTAATTACGCATTGATCTAAATGAAATCATGCCCTACCAAAGCCCCATTAACAAACATATCTAATTACTATTTTATTAATAATATGTTGGAGTAAATTGTTTTAATTTTGATTGTAAAAATTTTTTTTTGTTGCGCTTATGAGCTGTACTTGTCATTTTCTGGAATAAGTGGGATGTTCGTGCCCCCGGTGCAGGGGTTGGCTTAGATACTCGTCTCCTTTTTCCTACATTCTTCCTGTTAAGGGATTTGAAAAAGGAATATCATTTTTTGGAGATTAGGGTTGAGATCTCGTTTTAATTTATTTATGGTAATGTGGTACGTTAACTGAAATTCGGATGCGATGCCTATTCTCCCTGGCGCTAGTTAATCCTCTCTAATGCGTTATAAAGAATAAAAAAAAAACAGATACCTGAAGTTTGTTATTTCTAATCAATTTTCATACCTCTCGTTTCTTTTCGAAATGTTGTCAAACAATCTTACATTAAGCCATATTATATTTTATGCAAAATTAATCCAAAATTAGTTAAGGTTGGTTTTTGCACAAACTAAATTCATCCCCTAGTGCTCGCTTTTGAGGAGGCCACGAACCCAAACCTGGAGGAATACTTTATCATTTATATACGATATGAATAAGTAAAACTCACGTAAAACTTATGAACTCTGCGAGCCTCAAATTTTAATTAGTTTTCGGCGAAGTTTAAGTTGATGTTCTGGCAAACTTTGCTAATATCGAAACGGAAATTAAAAGATAAGAAAATAACGAGCTCCTCCATTTGCTCGAGTGTACTTGTACAGGGTGTATTACCCGATTTTTCCCTTCGTTGAATTGTTCTTCACGGTTTCTGTCCCCTTCGGAAATGTAACATTTGAAGGGTTTGTTGGAAAAAGGGATTCTATCTAAGCTATAGGGGAGTTTTATCCTAATTATGATATTTGATAAAAAAATATATTGTATATTGTTAAAATATATGTGGATTTTCTACTCGTACATGTTTTTATAAGTATACCTATAGAACAAAAAGAAGAATAAAATTGAATGTAATAATAATTAGGTGAATTCTGAGTATAGGGAGAGCGCATTATTTGTTGAAGGTTTAGGTAAGATAAAGCATGTAAGTTTAAGTAGAGGATCACTCTGTTTGAGTTGGTCTAATTCTAATTCGGATTCATAATAAATTCCGGCATATAACTTATTTCGCTTCGTATATATAATTAATTAGTCCTTAACTTTATACAAAGCGACTTAAAACTTTGAGAAGCCTGCCTGGCACAATTGTATTACGTATTCTCTCATTACCCATTCTACGTTGTTTTTCTTTTCTTCAAACAAAACCTTCCTTATTTATCTCCTGAAGTTTGCACCCTCATTTCTAACTTTGCCAGCCCGGGGTTTAAAATCTCCCTTTTCCAACTCGACATCTCAACCGAAACTCGACCGTAAACTGCCCCGTCGTAGGGGCGCGTGTCGACCGGGCGCGCCATCTAAAACCAAACACAAATATCCCTCTCTAGAAAACTGAACCCTCATCCCTTAAGTGTATGCCTTAGATATTTTATTTAAGATATTCGCCCTTTGAACGGGCTAATATAAGGGCGATATTTGTATGATTTTTGAGGCAAAATGGCGCGCTATTTAATGTAGGGAAAGTAATTCTAATTTGAATATCTCAATGCTGAATTCAGATTTCGGCTGTATTTAAGTTTAAGGAGGATTTTATGGAGGTGTAATTGCCTTTGGAGGTTCGGATGAAACGGAGGAAAATTGGGAAAATGTTTTATTGGTTTAGTTTCTAATTGGGCGACACCATTCGGTACAGTTTTGCAAAATTTTCGATCCTTTCTAATGTCGAACGGTTTGAAATTGGAAATATCTAATGGGCGTGGGTGTAGGAAAAGCTGAAAAAGTCGCCCAAGGGGCATGAAAGAGGTGCTAAATTGGATATCCCTTTACTCTGCTCGCGTATAACATACTTTGAAAGGACTCGACGAAAACAAAGACGAATGGATACATTACTAAATTAATCTTTGAAACAAAGCACTTTCCTTGCGCCTTATTCATCAAAGCCGAACTCATTTATTTAGTTAGAAATAAGGGAGGTACACACTTAGAATCTATTCGTTAAGTTCTCGTCTTTCTATTCGACGAAACGTCACTTCTAAAGGACTCTACACGAATTTAATTTGGAATTATTTGAAGTCAAGATTATAGCAAGGAAAGGGAATAATATGTTACCATTGTTTCCGAAATAATTACAAACTTTACACGTTAACGAAATTTCACCGACGAACAATTTTATTCAATATGTCTATTTTTAATTTTGTTCAAAATGCATCATCTATTTCAACGATATCTATCGGTAATAAGCCTCATCAAAGACAATGTCTCGAGGGTAGAAATTAATTAACAATATAATAACGGTACGAAATCCTCGTAGGCAACTCGGGAAGAGAACTAGAGCATACACCTTTATCTATTATCTATTTCAAACAGAGATAATTCCGTTAAAGTTTTCGCACCTATTTCAGCGACGTTTCGGAATGCTCTATGAAGTGTATAATGTAATTAATCGTTTTATCTGGTAGATATGTAAATGAGGAATTGCTAACCAAAAGAGATATATTATGCACCCTACATTACCAAGACGTCTGATTAGGTTAAAAACTTTGTAATGAGAACGGGGCACGAAACACGGAAAATGATTTAAAACAGAAAATAATTATTCACGGTATTTGGAATTACTAATTTCGTCAGGGAATTGCAAACCCTCAAACATTTTGAATTACGTCAAGATGTGAATAAGAAGATCTCAAACAGATGAATTGAAAGCAATAATTGATTCCTTAAATTTTTTTTTAATTAATAACATTAATACCTCCGATTTATTACATAGAAGTTTCTCTCTAAATACCATTAAAACAGGTTAACATATTTCTATACTATTCCTAATTAATATACGACTCTCTTTACAGGTTACAGGCAAGGTAGAATTCGCAAAATACTTTTAATAATCACCATGTGGGTCGGACTCAACCCGGTTTTCTGAAAGCAACCAATCAACTCCATTTTCAACTTCCATTACTAAAATACTAAAATTCAAGCATTTCAGGTAAGGCAATTTTAATTAAAACTATGTCATAACATCAAAATAAAACTTGCTATTTCCTGCACCAATAAAACCAGATCATTAACAGGACAATCTTTCTTTAACCAAATACTGTAATAAATTGTTTAAACCCACACAAAAGTGCCATAGATAAAATTAAATAATTGTTTTTATGCGTTCGGTATAAGTATAGTTTTTCCAAGGTTAATAAAAATAATTTTAATTTACCTAATTAGTAGCTCTTCTCTTAAAATAGTACAAATTTTGTTTATTAACTAGTGGATTCAAAAAAAAATCTTTATGCTTACAGTATTTATTTATTCAATGAAACTTTACAACAACGTTGAACTGAATTGACTTTGGAAATACTAAACTAGATTTAATAGATGTTCGAATCCAAATTAATGTTAACGTTCTGGAAAATACAATACAATTTAGTGACATGGAGTAGTCGCGAGAACAGAAATAGTTTTTTGGATTCTGAAAATTTTCATGACTCTATCAGCAGCAAATCGATTTATTTAACGCAAATTATTTGATTAGTTTTTTATCGATAGATAAATACTTGGTTATTTTTAAATCAGGTTGAAGAGTAATTATTTAAACAAAACTGTTCAGTTTAATGTATTTATCAAGCTTTTTAATCTTTGTTTTATTATTGCGAAACATATTTTTCTAATTTTGAGTCATGAAAATCAAACTCATTTTTTACATTACTTACATAAATTTTACATCCAATAATTCGAGAGGAAATAGCAATTTTTTTCAATGCACAATCCTGATGAAAACATTCATTCGCAATTTCTCTGTTTCAATAACCAAAACAATGCAATAGTTGAAAACAAATACCCAAATACGTTCAAACATTTCCGTTTCTTTCGTACAATTAACAATAACTTAAATTTTACAGTCATAAACCAACTCGATTATTATTCAGTTAGCAGGTAAAGTGGTTAAACAAGACATTTTTCGAATTGCCTTACATAAATTTGAATAATCACGAATTCACGAACTTCTACAGCGACTAATTTGTGATTATTACTAAATTTAACGCAAACATTTTTATACATTTCAGCTTCACTCATCTCTGACATCCAACAGATTTTCAATGAAACCGAAATTGATTCTACTCCAAATCAACCTAACGGAATTTCTTTTTATTTAACATTGTAAGTAACTATTTTTATTAATTTCTACTTGTTCCTTTCACACTATCGGTGGTATCGATGGTTAAAGAGGTATCTCCAGTCATGTATCTTTTTGATTATGTATGAGAGATATATTCTGATAATATCCCGGTTTTGGGTTTTATATCATCTTCCTAACTTTTTTTTGCCAACAAAAAATCAACATTTAAACCCAAACTCTGGGCGTTTGATTCCAGGTTCTTCTCTATCGCTCCGGGCCAGCCGCCGCAACACGTTCGAACACAAAAAGGACCCATAAAAACGGATATTTCGCGAAACGAACAAACATTAATTCCGCCGACATCTGACACGTGAAATAGGTGGCACTTCGGATTGTCATGTTCAACACGAGCCCATCAACGTTTCGAATATGTGGGATCCGAGACGCCGATTGTGCACGTGGCGGATACGCTGAAAAAATACGGGCACGCCGCTCACAGGTAGGTCGATAAGCGATAAGACTTTGAAAAAATCATTTGAATACAATGAATCGTCTGTATTCTTTTCGGTTTGTTTGTGTTGATCCAATAAATAAGTGTAGATGTATACAGGGTGTTAATATTACATAAACTGAATAGGAGATGTGGTCTGTGGAATTGCTTTATAAGAAAGATTATTTTGCGTTATAGCAGCAAATGAGGAACATAATGAGCTAAATGTTATAGTTTAATTATAATCTATGAGAATACAAAAAATTGAATAGTTAAAAACTTTAATAAATAATTGATCTGGAAAATTTACATTGTGGGGATCTGCTGAAAGGATCTAATGAGGAAAGGGATTGCTTGATGGAAACATACCTGGAAGAAATTTTTACAGATCTACATATTGAGTTTTCTATAATAAAGAATTCCTATATCCGCAGAAACATTTCCAATAAGAATAGGCAAAATTGTACAAGTCTATACTCTCATATTATTCCTCATTATTTTCATAAAACATTGATATAGACTTCTAACATGTTTGCAAGACAATTCAATAAACTTATGCATCGATAATCTTATTGTAAAAATTACTGGTTATTTCTTAAAGCTCTGTTCCATTTAAAGCAATTAATTTTTTTTATTACGATACGACTTTGTTTATAGAATTCAACTAATTAAAAGCGCCTGTAATAAAATCCGGAAAGGCAATAAAAACGGCCGTAACTCCAGCAACGACCGTTAAACCAACCCTTATACGAATTCTGTTTTTCCAGGAGCTCTGGATGGCCCCCACCACCAGCAGCCCGGCGAGCAAGACAGACCGGGAAGCAAAAGAAAACACGTAAAAATACCACCACTCAAGCAACATCAGGAGAATACTGAAACTCTCTCTCCAGCCCTGCCCGCCTCTCTCTCTTATTTCTCTCTTACTTTCTTTCGCCGATTTCAACGAGCAGGACCCTCCGCGGATAGGGGAGGTTCGTAAGAACTGAGTCCTGGAGAGACCGCGTAGGGGCAGCAGGAGAATTAAGGAGGGGTTCGAGCTGTGCAGGGAGTGGCTTCATATAAGAAATCAATGATTGCACTAACCTTAGAAGAATTTCTGAGATTTCGGATGTACATTTAGCTGCGAAAAATACGGAAAAATTATTCGACAAAAAATTTTTAAAAATTATTAAAAAAAGCTTATTTTTAATAATACACATTATTCTACGATTGAACCTAAAGTTTCATATAAAAACCTCAATTTTTATCGGAATAATTAAGTTTAATTTAATTACGAATGCTATAACAAATAAGGTTATAGATTTATACAATTTAAGGTTCTCTATTTGAATAATAATGATTTCGTGTTCTCGCCCGCATAAGAAATTATAATACCTTCCTTGCCTCATAATTTAAAGGTAAATTACTTAAATGCCCCATTAATTTCTACGTTTATGCACTGATTTCTAACATGTAAATTCCGAAATTTATGTAACTAACGGAGGCCGTAATTTGTATTTGAAACAGCGATAGTCGAGTGCTTTCTTAAAATTAATTAAATTTCCAATTTCTGCGGAGGAAATTGTCGAAAATCCCCTTCTTATAAAATGAATCATTACATGCAAACGAAGTACGTTTAGATTTTCTTTTTAAACTTGATGTTAATTAGCAATTTAATACATTTAGCGCGCCTACACAAAACCATTTTAATGAAATAGAATTTGATACCAATTAGGTTTATTCATGACAATATTTACATCTGCATCAACAATAAATATTTCGAACTACAAAAGTGCCAATTTCAATTGCAAAAAGCGGATAATAAGTTTTAATTTATGAATTTCACTTTCTAATTTTTATATAAATGTTAATTACAGATAAATTCGAACAAATCAAAGGCTAAGCTATCTATTAAAACAATTTAAATTAAGGATTAATCTAGCTGCCAAATTCATTATTAAGGGCGGTTTCTAACTGCATAGTTTTGCTTTATTCAACATTCCTTCTAGTACTGCACTTATTTCTTCGATTTTCTCTAATTTATTTGCCCAGAGCTCTCTTCTCGATCCTTATATTTTTCTCTCATTTACTTTTCTATTTTACCTATCTTTTCACAACTATGTATTAAAACCTTTCTCATAAACATTACTTCATTCAATAACAATGTTTTCATTAATAATTATAGTCATATTATTACAATAATCGTGCAAAAAAAACAATTTCATCAACTATTGAACAGCCTTTTAACATTTATAACAATCCCATAAATAATAAATAACTCATAAAATTGTGTTAATATCTCGTAAAACTCCCTTTTGCGACGTTAACGCGAGGACCCCTCCTCGAAGATTCCTCCATAACTTCTTCCAAGTCACATCAGTCATCCGAAAAATAATAACGTTCCCTTTGTCTCCTGCCTCGGTATTTTATATTACGGCCCAAGTCTCGGGAATATTAAATTTCTTGGTATATATTCGAGCAGACGACTATGCACAACTTTGTTTATTCTGTATACGTTCATTTATCTTAGCTCTTTCCAAGGCACACTGTTTGAATAATACATTTACTCATCTTTAATTCTATGAATCTTAAATTTCGTGCCCTGTATACATACACACCCGGAGCCATACGGTGGCGGGCGCACTATAAGGTTTCATGAAATTTAATAGTGTGTTTCACTCGCTGAACGACAGGTTTTGCCAATGAAAATGTCTTCGAAAGTCGGTTTCTTTCATGCTAATATATCTTCGTTAGTCTCGCTTCTCATCCTATAACTCCAGTATACTATCTTCTACATTGCAATGTTCTTTGTATCCTAATTCATGTTTTAATTCCAAATTTACATCTAACTCTTCTTATAGCCTCTAGCTTTATCATATTAAATCTAGATATGTACATGTATCTACAACTTCTACAGGCTTTTTATGGTGATTTAATGTGATTTCATAATCTTCTTAATTTGCTATACTAAATAAAATCAATCTAGTAAAAATAAGTATATTTACTTTTAGCCTATATGCTAATTATAATTCTACATGCCTGCTAATCTTATTTATTTCACTATCTTTACATTTCCATTGAGCTTTTTCCCAAAAAACACATGAGAAACTAAATTTGGGTAATTCTTTGTAGCTTAAAACTTACATTTGCTTTTAAAGCTGATCTTCGTTTAGGTATAATAAACTACATCAAGGAATAATTTAGCTATATTGTTATAAATAACTTTATATTCTTTTTTATTTAATTAAATGTACTGCTTGTAGCTGAATGGAAACTTTAATAGTCATTTAAAAGCAAAATGCTCCAATTCGATGACTCTAAACTGTTAGTTAATCAAAATTAACTCGATAATTTCGATGTAAAGAATAAAATTCTATCGGATTCATTAAATCTTCATATTATCAAATATCAATACCAAAATATTGATTGAATTACTCGCCAATTTTTAAACAAAGTTATATCTAGGCATTTAAATTTTTAAATGTTGGACATTTAGGTACGCTTTTTATTTCTATAATTGGTATTTATCGTGAAAATCTCAATTCTGAAAATGGCATAATTATATTGATTAGGTACCCGAATAATTATATACATATACAATGCTTTGTTCGTTGCGAACATAAAAGGACACATCAGCATGTTAATTACATTACGATTAACATAAACACATAGTACGAATTTAATGTAAAATATATTCGCAAAATATTAGCAAAAATTTAATTAAAGTCAGTTACAGTTGGTAAGTGGTAATTGATGTTATTTGGCGTGAAAACTGAAGTGAATTTATATTCGGCAAATGTACGGGAATAGTAATGAAATTCGCAATAACCCGGGTACGTTATTTATATTTTTGAGATAATTCGGATATATCGGAGTGAAATATTCATATCATCAAACGTAAACTACACCGCGATGAACACATTTGAATTTTTAATATATTTATTTTCTAGTTTGAGCATTCCACAAATCCCGAATGCACATATTTTATTATGACATAAAAATACTTATTTCAATAATATAATATTGTTTAATTATGCTTTTACCATTAATTATTACATTTAGTATTCAAGTTAACCATAAATTCTAACCTTTTTATTCATTAATTTTTTATCTGTATGTACTTTTATGATATTTAATTAATCTATTAATCTGATGTCGTAACAATATGTTCATCTAATTTGTTAGTCATTTTTTTTAGAAATTTTATCCATTATTTAAAACGTTTAAAAGTCTTTAATAGTAAGCTCGATAATCCGTTTAGCACGTCAATCCATTCCAGTAAAAAAATCTCCAGGGAAGGCTCGCTTTCGGTAAATCATCGACACCGTAAATAAAGCGAAAGGGAGGAAAATCCGCGATAAACCGCAAAATAAACGAATAAAAATGCGCCACTAATTGGGTGTCGTCGATAAAAAACACTTAAAAAAGTAAAAACCGGGAAGCCCCTTTTAAAAGCGGTAATTGTTAAAGCCGTTTCGCCCTCTTCAATTTTCCGTGTTTTTCACTGAATGCGGCATGCGATTTTTCCGTTTTTTTTCAACGAGAGGGTTGTTTTACAAATGAACTCTTTAGGCTTGGTTTAATCCGTGGGCTAAACCCATCTGAAACCTCATTTAATTGAAATTTGAAATATATGCGATGGTTTTAATTTAGAATTTAATTCATTTTCATAAAGAATCAAATCAGTGTTTGAAATTAATTTTAATTAAATTGCCTTTTTCTGGTACACTACAAATTGCAACTTATAGAAAATATCTTTTGAATTAATCTCTAAATAAATTAATTGAAATGCTAAAAAATAGCCATTTATATATTCCGGAAAATACAAAAATATAGCTTGCTAATTATTCTTATAATTACTTTAATTTTTTAATAAAAATGACATTTCTTCTTAACTAATCCTTGATAAGCCTTTCTATTATTCTTCTGCATCTTTTTCTTCTAACGCAACCAACTAGAAACTCTAGAAACTAGACTATTTTTAATAACTCTAAAAAAGGAAATACATTAAATCAGTTTTGACTTTAGGTTCATGTCAATTCAAATTTATTTTTTGACATTTATCAAAAAATTTTATCTAATAAGTGACTTGATAAATTTTTAAAGCAAATAAAATGAAACAATAATTTTATTAACATTCACAATTTTAAACGAATACCTATATGGACTCTTTTTTATTCATCAATTAACTTCTATATAAAGCAACGCTCATTTTTAATTCATCTTTACTGTACATGATAAATGGAATTAAACTGGCATATTAAAATATGGAACATCCAGTACAATTTTATGTGAAAATATAATTATTACGTGCACGAATAGTATGTTTCAAATTAAGCTGGATAATTTAATTTGTCTCGAAACTAACTTTATTGAAATATATAAAATGCATCTATCGATCGAATCAAATATTTCCATACTCTTTAATAATTACATATAGTATAATTTAATTATTCTAGCCAACATTGTGAAAAATGCATTCTAATTAAAAATATCTCTGAAAAATTCTTTGCCCCCTTACTAGGTGAAGTGTTCAACAAGTGTTCGGAGGGTGGCTTTTTTCCCACAAAAAAGATAAATTAGCTTTTTAACGATGATTCGAAAAAGTCTGGAAATCTGTTTGGAAGGAGTGCGCCGGGATTTTTTACGGTTTGAAAAAAGGGATAACGTAATTACAGAGATTAACGATGCGTTTAACAAGGTTAAAATTGGTTGTTATCTCGGCTTTATCTGGATCTGATTAATTTTGTTTTAAATTGTTAGATGTTAAATTTCAACGCTTTCAGAAAACTATGCTTTATATTACTTTCTTATGTTATTTAACTTTTTAAACAGCGCACAACATACGTTTCTGCTACTCCAAAATACGTATAAATAGCTAGTTTTAATGTTTAGGTTTATGTTAATTGTGAAAATTATTTCCAGAATATAATAAGTTTGAAAATATCCTCCTCAACTTAATTAACATCAAGCTAATAAATGTCTCCCGATTGTGTCGTTTCTGGAAATACTTTATTTATATTTAATTTAAGTGACTGTTTGTAATTTGCATGAAATCGTATGTTAATTTAAAATTAAGTTTTTCTTTGGTTTAGCTTTAAGTTTTCCTTATTTACTTATTTTCGGATTAAGAAATTGTTATACACATACAACTGTTTGCGGCATTAAGTTAGTATTTTTTGCTCATGATTTTGAGAGTTTCTATAGTAACCATAGATTTAAGCGTTTTGGATTAATAATGTTTTTTATATTTGTACGTTTTTTGTAATTTTTTGGTTTTTGGAATGAATAAAATTTGACACACAACACTCTCTAGTCCGAATTACAAACCATTAGGAAACTCCTGGAAGACACCCCGCACAACGCCCGAAAGTTGGTTACTTCCCTTTATTCGACTTAATGCGATAATTAAGGAAGTGACGTTTAAGCGATGAGTGACATTACAGTTCAGTTACGTAACTATTATATTTAATCTCGAGTTAAAGTTCGCGCGCCGCCTAATGATTCGTTAACTAAAATTAGTGAGGAATCCGCCCCGGATGCATCCGTTCCCATTTCTAATATACGCGCTTTTCTTCGGCCTCATTTGTTCCTAAGATTACGTTAAATACTCTCTGGATTCTGCAAGAATTCCTGGAATCGACCCACACTCGGCAGGGCGGGCGGCCAAATTGATGAGCCATTAATTTGTTCGCTCCCGCTCTGTGAATTTCACTGCTTAGGGTGCCACTTTCAACGCATTTTTTAAGAATAATTATTACGTTTTTACATCCTACAGTTTAACACACCTCAAAGTCGTCCTATTAAAAACGGGAGAAATTAGTGAAGATGCTCAAAGAATGCTCAATGATCTTTCCGGAGAGATTATCATCCAACCAAATGTAATAATTTTACTCAATATTCGATCACAATGATAAAATCCGTTGACCCATATTTGGCGCTTATCGGTCGTATCTTAGTTATAACCAGCAGGATAACATCCAAGGAATTCCATCGTTATCGAACCCTTTATAAGGAATTCACGGTGCATTTAATTAGGACCTGGCCGTCGTACCTTCTTGTTCTTTCGCCGGGCGGCCAGCGCGAAAGGGTGAATATCCGGTCGGGAGAGAGTGCAAACTTTGATAGCTCGATTTCGACCCCGAAACGGCTCAGCTAATAGGTAATATATATCGATATATTAATGTGTTGGAATAGTTTTGGAGCCGGGGCTTTCGGGCCTACGCCGGTGCGGAGAAAGACGTAATGAATGGAAAACACTTGAAGGTTCGGGGGTTGCGATCCGTCGATAAAACGCTAGCGTTGGAATTCTGCTTAATCTTCCGCAAAATTGATAATTTAAGTTACGTGTAGAGTTTGTAATTATTTAATTAAAGTTACCTAGAAAAACCTAATATCTAACTTACTAAAATCGATAACCTTAAGATACATTTTTATATGACTATATAGGTACAGTTCAATAAGGATATAACAATTTATATTATTTTTAATATGTCTAACTGCCTGTGTAGTATTATAGCACACATTATTAAAAATCAAATAATTTTACAATATTTAAGAAAGAAAAGAGCTAAGCTAAAAGAAACTACACCGGGATATCTACCTACAAATTCATTTAATTGAAGAATGGATTAATATTTCATTACCTACTTTATTTTATAATAATTTTCTTATAATTTTCTTTAATATTTTACAACAATGCATTGGTATCCCCATCTATACACGAAACTCCGAAGTTTGTTTCTCACCCCTAGAATTTCATTCGATGCATGGCGTATAAAGAAGGGTTCTTCCATGGAATATACGTATCACCCTCTACCCTCTAATAACTGATTTAATAGTGAATTGAAGTTACTTTATTTCAATTTTTGTTCATGGAAAAAACTGTTCTTTTTATAAAAATTGGAGGTATTGAAGGCAGAGTTTGATGCTCAACCACCAAAAAATATAATAATATGCAGCCTCCGAGTAAACCATTTTAATGTAATGTTGTTTTTTTGATATTGAAGTATTTTCAAGTTTTGATAAGCGATAAAGATATGGGCACACTTTCGATTATTAATTCCCTTGTAAATATTTGATAAAAATAGGTAAATCATGTATTTAACAAGATAAAAACATTTTCAAATAAATTATCTACGTGTTTAAATTTTTACAGATGGCATTCACCTACGTCATATTAAAATGTAAGTTGAACAATTTGTTTTCTATATGCATTTCAATTTTTAAGATAAATAACTTAAAAACATATCTACTTAAGTAAATAAAAGTCAATGAATACAAAACTTTCCTAAAATTCCGTTGGAAAATTGATTAAAAAATCTTTACTTCACGATAATAAAAAAATACTCATTTTAAAGAACTCGGACTTTGTACTTTAGTACATTCAGTAAATGCCATTTACATATATTGTACTTTGTGCACAATATTTCCATTATCATCAGCAATGAGAATATTGCCCCAAATTACTGGAGGAGCACAGCACAACAATAGCATCGAAGAACATAAGGCTCTCATAAGTCTTTTGAGTTTCAGCTTTCACTTAGTAGACAAGGAAATTTCCATCAAGGAAGATCATACTAAATTGAACACTCTACTTCTATCATGCTGCATCAATTTATGCAACATGAAATGTAAGACGCTAAACATACTTTGTATGAAGGATCAGTCCCATAATTTTAGAGTAGGAAAAATTTCAAGATTTGTTTATTGTTGTTTCACTATTTGGGTAAAAATGAGTGGAGTCTTTAAAGAGAATATGTTAAAATTCAACCAATAATTTTTTCCTTTATTGATAAATGATAATAAAACAAAGTAAATTTTACTCTCTCGAAGGTTATCGAACGAAAGATTTTTTAGAAGTACATATTTTGGTACGTGCTCAAGTGTTTTTGCACTTTTAAGTGATGCATAATTATCGATAAAAGTCGGTTATCAACAGTAGATGAGAGCTTTTCGATCTTAAAATAGAGATCTATATAATTTATCTAATTTTAATAATTTGATATTGGAGAAACTTTTTTATATAAATAGTGGCAACGACATTGACTTGTTTGAGATTCCTACCGTGGTGTATTGAGGTAAGTAAAACCTACAAATTTTGCTACTCATTGTACCTACAAATATTGCTACTCATACAGTACTCTTTGCCTAGTTATTCATTTTAATGCACATATTATGTGTTTGATAACCAAAGGGAACTATTTCTTCATTTCTGAGGCGATTTTTCATTGAATATTTAAAGCAGTTAGCTACAAATGTCATGTCAAAATACAACCAACAGATGGCAGAAATTTTCCTTTTTTTTTAATTATCTTTAAAGTCCAATGCGAAACATTAATAAAATCTTTTGTATTCATCACCATCATTGAAATATATACAAATTTCATATTCAGTGATTATTGAAAATATGAAAGAATTCTATTATTAAGATTGTCTATTTCTAAAATCATAAAACTATTGTATTGCTTTAAAAAAATCATCTTAACTGGCTTCTAAAAGATATATTCTCTCATTTTTAAGCACCGTCTATAACACTTGATTTCTTTATTCATAGTTTCAACAAAATGAAGTACCTCTCGATTCTTGCGCTCTGCATCAGCTGCGGGCTGATCAACGCCGGTACCTACACCGACCGTTTCATGCAGCAGTACAACAAAATGAAAGATGCCAAAAACGGCTACTTTTCTAAAGAAGGCATCCCTTACCACGCTGTGGAAACATTGATCGTTGAAGCTCCAGATCATGGTCACGAAACCACGTCCGAAGCTTACAGTTACTGGCTATGGTATTTAATAGGAATTTAAAGTAAAAAAGCAATATTAAGTTAAATGTACATTGCAGGTTGGAAGCTATGTATGGTCGTATCAACAAAGACTTCTCCAAATTCAATGAGGCATGGCAGAATATGGAAAGGTGGATAATCCCATCCCACACCGACCAAAGCACCAACAACTTCTACAACCCTGGAGCTCCAGCTACTCCCTCTGCTGAACTGGACGACCCCAGTCAGTATCCTTCTAAGATGGACTTCGGTGCCCCTGTTGGTCAAGATCCTATTTACCAAGAATTAGTGAATGCTTACGGAACCAGCGACATGTACGGTATGCATTGGATATTGGATGTAGACAATGTATATGGATTTGGTAACACACCTGGTAAGACTACTTAATTAACTAAACGAATTTATGAAATAATCTAATAAATAATTTACTTAGGTGGCGGTTGCGAACTTGGACCGAAAACAAACGAACCATCATTCTTTAACACATACCAAAGAGGACCTATGGAATCCGTCTGGAGAACCATTCCCCAAACAACTTGTGACAACTTCAAATATGGTGGTACTCATGGATTTTTGGACCTTTTCGTAGGTGACAACAGCTACTCTCAACAATGGAAATTCACCAACGCTCCCGATGCCGACGCCAGAGCAGTCCAAGCAGCATTTTGGGCTTACCAATGGGCAAACGAGACTGGACAAGAATCAGATGTACGATTGTTTACTTAAATTAGTATCGACCCTTTTCTATAAACCAATTTTTTAGGTCGAAGCAACTGTCGAGAAAGCAGCTAAACTTGGTGATTACCTGAGATACGCATTGTTTGACAAATATTTCAAACAAGTAGGTAACTGTGTTGGAATTTGGAATTGCCCTGGAGGACAAGGTAAAGGCAGCGCTCACTATCTTCTTTCCTGGTACTACGCTTGGGGAGGTTCCCTCTACGCCAACTGGGCTTGGCGTATCGGAGATGGCTCTGCTCACTTCGGCTACCAAAACCCCCTTGCTGCCTACGCTTTATCGCATGTAGACGCTCTGAAACCAAAATCTGCAACTGGTGCAAGTGACTGGGCTATCTCGCTAGATAGACAAATCGAATTCTACGGTTGGCTTCAATCTGTACAAGGACCTTTCGGCGGTGGCGCCACTAACAGCTGGAATGGCAGGTACGATACACCTCCGCCAGAACTTACCAGCAACACTTTCCACGGCATGTTCTACGACTGGGAACCCGTTTACCACGACCCACCATCTAACAGATGGTACGGTATGCAATCGTGGTCAACTGACCGTCTCGCCCAATACTACTACGTCTCCGGCGATGAAAAAGCTAAAGCTCTTTTGGACAAATGGGTGAAATGGATCGTCTCTGAAATCAAATTCGAAGGTGATGGTTACACGCATCCCGAATGGATCCAATGGTCCGGAAACCCTCCCAACGTTAACGCTAATGTCACTAAACACGGCAGCGATGTCGGTACTGCATCCGCAACGGCTAGAGCTCTTACTTACTACGCCGCGAAAACCGGTGACCAAAATGTCAAGAACGTTGCTAAAGAATTATTGGACAGAATTTGGAACAAATACCAAACAGACAAAGGAGTTTCCGCTCCCGAAGTTATGGACACTTACAACCAATTCAACCACGAAGTTTACGTACCGCCAGGTTGGATGGGAAGCTACCCCAACGGCGACATTATCGAAAACGGTGTTACCTTCGTAGGATTGAGATCTTGGTACAAAAACGACCCAGACTGGCCCAAAGTACAGGCTTACTTGGATGGCGGTCCGGCGCCCACCTTCACTTACCACAGATTCTGGCAACAATCCGACGTCGCTATCGCTCAAGGTACCTACGGTCTTCTCTTCAATGAATAAATAGATTTCTAGACTATTTTTGTATTTATTCCGTATATTAAATTTTTATCAATTTATTCTCTCCGTTTGCGAATTATACATACACACACACCCTCCCACACATCGTCCTTCATCCATTAGTTTCCAGAACTCGTTAGCACAAGTCATTGTTTACGACGTTCGCATTCGCCGGAGAAGCGAAGCGAACGCGTTTCGGGCGAGGTAAGAGGAGCAGCAGGAGAGAGCTCGAGAATTGTAGCGCAGAAAACCCGGACGAATCCAGCCGGCTATGAGCTGTCACATCTTCTGTCAGATGTAAGTTCGCGGTAGAATGGGGCTCATTAATTCAGACGTCTCCTTCGTCTTACTGTTATTAACGACAGCCAATGAGGGAGTACTGTCTATTTACGACGCTCCTTTGTTTCGCTTCCTCGATACTCCGCTATGTCTTTAGGCAGGGCCGCGCCGAATTCTTGAAAAATTTTCACTAACAATAATCTACTGGATAAAGTATTGAATACTTCGTCCAGTGTGTTTAATTTTTGGAGCATTTTATTTATAAATAATAATCAGATAAGTGGAATTTGTTTGCCAATATGGTGAATTCCATAAGAATTGAACAAAAAAAATACATATTATAAAAATAACAGTGGTTAGAAAGTTGCATTCCGTACCCATACAATATTACTCTATCAAATAGACCATATGTATAACAAACAAATTTTCATCTATGTAGGTATATTATTTTCACTAGATAAAATTAAGAAATTAACCAGAATCCTTGGATTTATAATGATTTTTCAGCATTTTGAATTATTTATTGTGATACCTTTGACCCTCCCGGCGATACGTCTTTGGTGTACCCTTGTTCTTGGGGTGTCTCTACCTCACGGGAAAACTTGAAAATGTCGACTCCACCGCGACGGCTGATGGCAAATGTGTGTTCGCAGAATGATCGAATGGCAACGAAGAAGATCCTTTGTTTAATATACGAGTTTCCAATTGTCTTTTGTTCAACTGATATGAGATGAAATGGTCGTAAATTTATTACTACGATCTCTAAAAAACTACCTATTTTAAAAAATTGTGTATAACAGATACGAAAGTATGAGTAGGTATTTTAATAGATTCAATAAATAAATTTATCACATTTTCCACATCCGAGTAACTTTAATGCCGATAAAAATAAATTTATCACCTTTTCCACATCCGAGTAACTTCAATGCCGATAAAGTTCTCCGGCAACTCTAAATATACGCTAACTTCTTATCAGCCATCCCCAAAGACGCCCAATCCCATAAGTACCCGAGGAATAAACAAACAATATTGCTTCTAACTTGGTCCATATACATAACTAAAGTAAACTCTTAGAAGATAAACCAATATTAGCCCTATTACATCGTACATAGAACCTACTTCGCCATAACTCAATATAAATGCAAATATCTTATATTAAGTTTGCCGTGCATTTTCGTTAAGACAACACGCCATCTTAGAGACTTGGAACATATTTCGAGAGCCCGGCGCGGCATTCTGGTCCTTGAGAATTTCGCGCAAAGGAGTCGGATTGGCGCGGAAGGGCGTCGAGAGGGTGAATTTGCACAGTCTTCCGCTAGCTTGTTTTGCTTTATTATTAGAGAAATTCGAGCATAAAAGACGGTGTACCCAATCGATAAGGAATACGTCGCGATATTTTGCTCTTTCGTCTAATGTTGATACAGGAAGTTTCCGACGTTGGCTTTTCCACTTTACTCTATTTATCTATATGTAAAGGCTCAAAGTTCACGAGCGACCTATGAACATGTGATTTTTGGGGCAATAACATATTGAAAATTAAGATTATAAAGGTTGATAAGTACTTGAATGTTCTTCTGTAGAAGAAAAAACGAAAACCCAATATGCAAATTATATCTTAATTAAAAATGATTTTACAATAAAGATTTTGTTTGGTTTAATTAATTAATTTAATATTTAAACATTTTCTTTAATTACACCATTCCTATAAAGCTAGAACCCATAATAAATGACCATAGTATTAGTAATTTTTCTAATATTTTGAAAATACCGAGGTACTTTTTGATCGATTTTGTCAAGAAAATTATATTTTACTTGCATACCTTCACCATTTTGCAATTTATGGTCTTAAATTATTTTATATCATTTATGTATGTAGTATAGAAGTCACCAAAAATAAAGTCTTGAAACGTGAAATGAATAGACAAGAATTCACCATGAATCAGGTTGAAGTAATAAAACAGGTTCGGTTGAACTAATAAAAAAATGTAACTACACCTAATACAATTACTTTCCCAGTTCCTTCCAATCCCCTATCCCTTATACTTGAATTCGTACGATAAAATATTCTTCTATATTTGATTCAATCTAGTTTTTAAAAAACCAGTTATTTCTTGTAGTTTAACCCTTCGACTATCGAATTGTAAGAATTAAAAGAAGACTCGAAGGTTATGGGAATATCGCAAATAGAACTCGAGTAACTTGTTCCATCGGTTTTATCCAATTTTAAAAATTGAAGTGTAACAACAGGGTTCCCCGAAATTTTCTCCAGTTGGTATTACCACGTATAAGTGTAGGTTTATCTTAACGATTATTTGTTGAGTAATGTATTAGTAGATAATCAGATATAACAAAAAAGTATTAGTGTTAATAGTGATGGTTATAATATTTAAGTTAGTTTAGTGAAGAAAAATTGGGTTGTTTTCTAATAGTGATTAGTGGAAATTTTTATGTGATTTTTAAATTTGTGTTTAAGTGATTACTTTTTCTTCATCACCACTAAATCTCAGTAAGTTTTGTTAATATAATTTATTGTATTACTCAGTCATTTTAACTTCCCTTTTAATAATAACTAAAAGCAATTCCAGTAAGAAACTCTAAACTCAGAACACAGACACCTACACAAAACTTCTCTGCAACCATACCAGAACAGGAATAGATCTATTGGCTCATATTTTAGTCAGAATCATGGCTGCAACCCTTTAATTAGATATCAATCCACCCCCTAAAAATGGTTCCCGTATGAAAAAATCGATATTGCATCAGCTATTATGTAGGGCACTTCTAATGGCCGACCTTGCCATTATTTTATTTCAGCGAGGGTGAGTCTCCCACTATTAGATTTTAGACCTCGCGAGGGGTGAATTTAGCATCCATAGTTTGCTTCAGAAAATGGAACTTATTAAATAGGAAATTAATTTAAAATATTACGAGAAATTTATAAACTAAAATTATCATTAAGTAGTTAGTTATCTACCAAAAATTATCATTGGAATAGAAGATAACAAATTAGATATCTTATTGATGCGAATTCGAAACTATATAGTTCTATACTCTGTTCGCTTCATCTATTTATTTTACTAATGATTATGCGACCTTTACGGTTTCCTGTAGAACAGTAATTATTGAATAAATTCCGTGTCCCAAAGGACGCTAATAATTGGTGCATTTACCTAAATAGTTTCCTGGTTTATTATAACTGAACTATCAGCCTTATATTCTATTCCAATAGCGCGGAAGATCAAAAGCCGAAATCAGCTCATCAAGAAATATGCTTGAGTGAAACGAAAGACAGACGGATAGATAGATATGTGCCCGCTTTATGTATATAAGACCTCAAAGGATTACCGTTACAAGTTAGAAAGCTCTCCCACCTTTCCCCAGCATCCGTTCGTTCCTTCAGTCATTATAGAAGGAGATGTTAATCTTACTTCAACTAAGCTGAAATTACACATCTCAAGGAGCCTTCGAGCATAAATAATGAGTCAGGCACGTAAATTTGAAATTCTCTAAGGTATTAATCTAACTTAGCGTGGAAATTCAACTCCTGCGACTCGAGATTACCAGTTTAATATATTCTAAAACTTCTCGACGGTTGAATAATCTGAGAAATTCGTTATCATGCGTCCTCACGCTCAAACTCGCTATCTCTTTCTGGTTCCTTCGGTCGGGAAACCGCTCGAGCGAAACGGAAAGCGCAAGAAAACCGAAAAATCCCCTACCGGGGGGCGAAACTGCTGCTACGCCATCTTAAATCAATATAATATAAAATGGGCGAATCTCGGCTCCCCCTTTCCAGACAAAGAAACCTCCCAGCACCTCAGCTCCAAAACGAGAACGAGCTCGAAATGAACTTGCGGAAATTTAACAATTCAGTGGCGTTTTCAACATTTATATTCAATCTCAGCATACACCGCAGTATCAAGAAACCAGGACAATATTTTGGCAGAAGTACACCAAAAATTAAGCAATATATAGGAAGTTGGGAATGATATTTTGCATCTTCTGGATATTATAAGAGTGTTTTAAGAGAAAGAAAAGTATTTTAAAATAATCATTACAAGATGAAATATTGCTATCAAATTGTATTAACTTGCTAGATATTTTTGGAACATGCTCCTATTTTATTCTTTATCCTATTTATATCTATTTTCATTGATTCAATTACATGTTCTATTTCATTTCATTTTACTCTTTTCATCTAACTTGTGGTATACCTACTAACTTGCCAGATATTTGTTTACATGCTTCTATTTTTTTCTTCATTTTATTATTTATGCTATTTCTATTTACCTTCACTGATTCTATTCCATATTCGCATCCTGCGTTCTATTCCATTTTATTTCACTTTTTCGTATAACTTGTACTAACTTGCTAGATATTTGTAACATGCTTCTATTTTTTTCATCGTTTTATTTATTGTCCTATTTCTACCAATCTTTATTGATTCTATTCCATAGCAGCTTCTATTTTATTTTATTTTACCCTTATCTTTAATAACTTTAATAATTCTTATCGTCTAATATTTGTATTAACTTCATTTGTGTCCTCTTATAATTGTTATATTCTTGATTATGACTGTAATCATTTTAATTCTTTTAGTTACCACCACAATTTTGCTTTTGTGGATGAATTTGATAGGAATTTTTCGATTTTATCCGAAAAACTTGGATACAAAGTACATAAAGTTCGTGCAGCCTTAATTTTTTTTCTTTATATTACATTTCTCTTCTTTCACCTTTTATTATACTGCATTAATTAGAGCACTTCCATTTTCCCTTTG